GTGTGTGTGTGTGTGTGTGTGTGTTTGTGTGTGTGTGTGTGTGTGTGTGTGTGTGTGTGGATATTCAAAAATAAGAGTTCAAAAATGTGTGTTCTAGTGACAACTCAAAACTTCTTTGGCTACTGTTAGAAACACCAACTGGATCAGAAAAAAAGTTAGCAGAGGGATCAGTGACCCATTACAAATCTGGCAATTGGTATTGTACAAGTGTATAAAGATTATATGAGAAGCAAGGACATAGACAAGTTTTTGGGTACCATGCACCCTTCTCTACTGTATAAAGATGATATGGACTCCTGGTGCCTGTGGCAGGGCACTGTTGGTGCCTGCCATTTTAAGGGCTGAGCCAAGCAGCTAGCAGGTGCTTGGTTGTGGCAGCCATTTTAGATCTCTGTCTGCCTATATAAACACAGCAGTTTGCTGCTGGCAGGCCAGGCAGAAACATCACCTGGCTGCAAGGCTGAGTGTAACATCCTGGAGGTAAGGGCAGGAGCTGTAGGGGATGGTTTAGAGGCTCCTGGTCCTGGGCATGACCTAAAACTGCACCCTGCTGGGAGTGGGTGACATGGTGGGGCTCCCAGTGGTGCAGGAGCCTCTAGGAAATGCCAGGCCAGTTACCACCCTGGTGAATGGTGGATCAGATAGCCTTAACCCCAGCTTCCACAACCAGGTGGGTTACCCCACAGTAGGGTCAAGAAGGCAGACCCAGATTAGAAACAGGGCTATAGATTTAGAAGCCTGACTTAGAATACCCTCGATTGGCCAGTGCTGGGGCCAGGACCAGAATACTCACAAGGGCCAGGGGCCCACCGCAAGGGACGCCCAGAGCTGAGGGCCTGCGGTTTCCAACTGGCCTTGGAGATGAGGCCAGGGCCTGTGGGGCCAAAGGTCCGGGGGGGAGGGCACAGCTGAGAGGGGAAAGAGTTCAGGGAGCTAGGCAGCCCAGAATGAGGGCAGTGTGGGCTGCCTGATTGGAGAGACCCGGTTGGGGTCTGGATTACAGGATTCTGGGGCCCAGTGTGGGGCTGATGGTAAGAACTGTAGATGCCATCTGCGAGGCTTGGGCTGCGGTGTAAGGGAGGAACGGAGCCGCAGATAGCTCCCTCTGGCATCAGGGCTAGAAATGGGCAGACTCCTGCCTAATTAATTTCCTAATTATATCATCAAGGCATGACAGGTGCGGAAGCGGGTGGGTGGCCTAGAAACAGGTGGGCGGGCCAATGACAGATCGGCCCCAGGAAGGCCCCCTGTTACAGTGCCAAACAGTGACAATTTAAGGAAAAGAATAAAACAACATAATAGGGGTCATCCATATGACAGCACCTTTAATACTGAATGTCTGAACTTATCTATGTAGGTCGGGGTTGGCAAAGAGCCAATGGGCTGAATCCAGCCCTCAGACCATTAGATCCAGCCTGCTTTGCCTGTGCTTGTGTTTACACTGAAGCAGAGTAGTGGGAAGCTCTGCTGGGGCCAGGATGCTGGAAACTGTTTGTTGTGCCACTGCTGTTTCCCTTCTCCCCTTCCCCAAGGCTGTGGCGTAGGCAGAGCTTCCAGCTGGAGGGGAGCTATGCCAGGGCTGAGGAGCTGGAAGCTATGTCCCTGCCACTGCTGTTTCTCCCATCTACAAGGCTGTGGTCTGAACACAGCTTTCAGCTGGAGCAGAGCTGTGCAGAGCAGTGCCAGGGCAGCAGGCAGGGGGAAGTGGCAGCAGCATGGGAAGCAGCTTCCTGGTCCTGGCAGTTACCCTTAGGCTGGGAGCTGCACTTGCACTGCAGCCAGGGAAAAAGAAGGGCTGGGAGAAGCAGTGGGGGCATGGATGCAGCTTCCAGCATCTGGAAGTAATTGTGATTTGGAGTTAAACTCTAAAATTCCCCATCTTCCTCTCCCAACTTTCTACAATCTAGCTATTCTTGAATGAGCTGTTTACATACCTTCATGGATAAAACGGACCATTCTGAACATGAAGCAGCTTGCGAAGATATCTTAGCATGCTACTATTAGGTGGCTGAGGCTTTGCAAGCCAAACACTGTACTACCACAGTAGCTTTTGCTGTAGTTTGTGGCAGTGGCATCATCAGCAGAAACTGTTTGCTTATGACACTAAGATGTGGGGCGAGGAACTTTTTTGGATCAGCTTCAACAGTGAAGCATCATTTCTGCATTTTGAAAACACTGACTGATGGGAGAGGGATTTGCTGCAGGCCTGGGATGACTTCAGAACTTCAGGATGACAAAGAGCATTTTCCCCAAGTTCTGCATGCAGCTTACCTCAGCACTGCTGTATCAGCACACCAATGGGAGAGCTTCCCTTGCTGTTCAGAAGCATGTGGGCTCATCACTTGTTACTCCCAACTGTAACTAGTCAGTGTTTGGACTGCTGTGATGGAAGCTACTTATGACTTAAAAACATGCTGATGCTACATGTGAAGGCTCACCAATCTTCAGGAGATTATCAATGCACTGGGACAATATTTCTATTCTGTGCCCTGTGACAGGTCTCTGAATTCATACATGGAAAGAGGTACTTCCCTATTGCGCTCCAAGGTGTAGCTGGCCAGTGTTGTATTAATGCAGGGAAGCCTGAAACAATGCCATGCTTTTCTAGGAACCAAAACTCTTCTCTTTAACAAACAAAAGTAGATTTGTTCCTACAAATGCTGCTGTGGGCATCCATGGCCACGTACGTGCTCCCCAGAGCAGAGTCCCTGGTCTAAGGAGCAGATAAGGAGTTTTCCCCTACTGTTCCTGCTCCAGCTCCCCACTTTCTCTCCCCTGCCCTGCACCCTGACTGGTCCTGTAACATCAAACCCAGTGGGATCCAGGAACCAGGGAAACACTCCTTACCATGGCTGGCAGCACCGTTGACATGTTGACAACTGGGCAGTGATTTCAAAGACCACAGAGCTGGCTAGCAGGGCAAGACGACCTTCCTTGGGGTTGGGAAGCAGGGACAGGGATGCTCTCCCATCCCAGTTCTAGGACCTGCAGGCTTTAAAAGCTATGCATGTTGCCCATCTGGTCCCCAGTAACTGGGGTTAGGGAGGCTCTCCTCAGCAACTATTCCCTGCATCTCCAGTTTTAAACCGCTCTGTAAAGCCCATCTGCACTGCATACGCTGAGATCTAACAGCTGGGGGCTGTCTATTGACAACCTGTTTCCTTCCCAGAAAGGGGAAGAGGATAGGCTGACAAGTAATGAGCTCTTCTAAGGGATGTGGTGGCCCAGGAAGCAGCCCTCTAGTACCCCCTGGCTGGAGAGCTTGCATGTGTAGCCCTCTAGTCATGCACCTGGAAAGCCTGGACACTCCTGATAAGAATTGTGCTTGCTGAGATGGTCAGAAACTTGGGCAGTGACTTCTTTAATATTTCAGCCACTCCTTAACAAGTTGGAATTAACCTCATTTGGTCTGAATGGAAGGTACCCAGCAGGTCCACCAACTTCAACAAAGCTTGTGACTGCCTATAAACTGAAGATACACCTAACCTCCAGCATAACAAACCCCCCCACCCAAATATATGAATGTTTGCTTATATCATACCTGTATGTATCCTTGTTGATCAATTAAAAGATTTTCAGGCTTTAGATCTCTGTAGATGAGGTCTAATGAATGGAGGTACTCAAAAGTTAGCACTATCTGAGCTGCATAAAACCGTGCATGCGGTTCACTGTAAAGAATTAAAATAGTATTACACCTCTAATCAAACTCTATAAATATTATATTAATATATCTTAATGTGGTGTCATAAATCTATAATCTTAAAACTACAAACAATTTATATATATCGAGCAACTGGTCCCTTTATTCGGACAGAATAAAGGCCACAAGCAAGATTTTACTGAACACCAATTCTCTAAGTCTTTTTTTTTTAAGACTTAAATTTAAAATTCCAGAAGGAGGAGAAGGGAAGAAACATGTTCAATTGGATGAAACCTGATTAATTTTTGTTTTGTTGCAAAATGTTTACTGTCCACTTGATCCTTTGTATTGATTTCTAGAAACCAAGAGCATTTCCAACACAATACACATGTTCGTCCCACGATTCTCTCTCGTACAAATTATGAAAGCCTACATTTATTAACTGCATACTAATACATGTAATTAGGAGGTTTCCACCACATCATTATTTCAGCTCACTGACAAGAGGCAAAACTAAAAAAGCATTATTATGTAATTCATATTATGCAATTAGAACTCTTTCTTAATAGCAAGAAGTTTATTTTGAAAAGGAAGAATTTTAATTAAGAATTTTACCTGAACCTTCCAATTCTTCTTAGATGTGAGAACATTTCGCCACCAGGGACATATTCCATAACCATGTATAAATTAGAATTATCCTAAGAAACCAAGTGAACACACAAACATTAAACATTTAGCATTGCAGAATCTCTTCAGAGAATCATTTTACTGGGGGAAGGCAGAAAAATCAACCTCCAACTATGCACTCTACATAATACATACAAAACAAAATGGTTACATAGAAAGCCCTGAAAAATAGGAGTCATCATCAACAAAGTGAATTACTAAATCTGAATGAGGAATCTGTATTCCCATGTTTGAAAGAATAGAAAAAAGTGTAATCACTAACTTCCTGAGTCAGATTGGCATAGACTGACCTGAAATTATAGGCACTAACTCACAAGCTACAGAACAGTGATTTATGTACCCACCATCAGGAAATATATTTACTCTTATATAGCTCCTAATTGGCCCCTCAAAATAGGCAGCCTAAAAATATGTTAGTCTTTTCATATTTGCCAGAAGTTTCCAAAGATTTAGACTGAGCATACCTATAAACTTGAAATGGTATTAGACATGTTTTCATGTTTTGAAAAACACAATACAAGCACTGCTGCTATCTTCATTAGCAGAGGGGGACATTTGTTTGCTGCAGTGGGTCTCAGCCTTCTGAACTCAAGGCACCACTCAGAAACTTTTGTGAATCAAACAGCTCCCCCCACACCCATTTCAAAAACTAATGTATTCATTACAGTGCTGACCTCCTCTTAAGAGGAAGAGGAAATGAGGAGAAGGAGCAGGTGGGCAGGACAAGTAGGTGGTTACTTCCCACACAGGGGCTGGGAGGAAGGAGAAGCAGCTGGGCAGGGATGAGCCTGTGTTTATCTCCTTGGACACCATGGCACCCTGCAAAGGATCTCATGGCATCCTAGGCTGCCATATCACCTCAGATAAGCATGGCTAGTCTAACGGGATACCTACATTTATTACAAACTAGCAATATCATCTTAGCATGATTAAATGTTAAGGTTTGTTCAATCCTAGAAAAGGCTGTCATCAGGATCTGTTTCAGCTTGTCAATAAAACAATAAGTGACCTTCTCTTCTCACATTGCTGAATTATGAATTTGGTTCAATTTCCTAGAGAGAATTTTGTTTAAAAATCTTTCTGTCATAGAACTACTTATTTCCATGCAAAACCCTTAAAGTTTTGCTTGTTTTCAGTATGTCCTCTCTCATGGACCCCCAACTGATCAACTGGCAAGCATGTGGAGGAGTTCCTTTCACTGCAGACTCATACCACAGATTAGTGTATTGTATTGAAGGTGGAGTTTGGAGCGGTATTAGACTTTATTTTGTTGTTCTTTATTACTCGTAAGATGGGGCACATTTTTTTTGTTTTGTACAAAACATCTTGAATTGGCTTCTCTTTCTAGAAGCATCACTTCCCACTTTGAAGGAAGGCAACACTTATTTGACAAAGCTGGGATATGATAGCTAGGACTAAGCCTATCTTGTGGTTCTCCCCTTGCTACGTTTGATTTAAGGGTTAAAAAACCTTTAGCACCAGAAGAATTAAAAAAAAAAAATCTCAAGGAAAATATTACAAAATTTGGGAGCAAAAATCTCCCCAAGGAGTGGTTTGGATCTGCAGATTGTGTAAACTGGTATAGCTATGGTAAAAACAGTACATCTACACAGAAATAAACTGGCCAAGTCTAGAGAAATGCATTTCCAGAGTGGCTTCAAAATTGAGAGTTGCTTCTTTAAGTGAGCTCAATTCTTACTTAGGCTGAGGGTTGAGCCCTGGTTAATGGGCTGGATCCGGTCTGCAGAGCCATCTTGTGTCATCCATATTGCAGGGCTCCCCAAGGGTCTGGAAATCTGGTGGTGGGGAACACTGGCAGCATTAATTGCTACTCCCTTGGTGCCAAATTTCTGAACTTGTAGGGAGTCCCAAGGACTAGATAACATGGCACTATGCACCAGACTCCACTAACTTGTAGCTGAATTTGGCCAAGCATGTGGCTAGATACAGCCAGCATGCATGTTAGATCTGGGTGTGCGGGATCAGGCCCAGGGACCAACCTCAAGTGCCAAGCACACACGGTTTCTGGCCCTTGAGCCAACTGACCTTGCGCCACTCATCCAGCTTGTGGCACCACAGGGTTGGCAGCTGCTGACTTAAAAGTACTAGTTGGAAGAGAAAAATAATGCAAGGAAGGTACTGCAGTTCACACAACAACTTAAAGATTAGTCTAATTGGGGTCATAATGTATAAATAGATTTCTGAAAATTTACCATGCACATAATGTTGGACTACACTGAAAAAAAAAAAAAATACTTCCAGACATGGCATAAAAGGATGTAATTAAAGTAACTGGTGACACTTTGAAAGAGACCTCTTCAGTGAAACTTCCTCAGGTTTGAGTTTCTTGAATAGTAATATATTTTGGAGAGAGAGTCAGCCGAATTGGTCTGAAGTTGGGAAGAAGTGGCACTTGAGAGATTAGCTCATTTAGAGAAGTATGAGCTTTCTGACATCTGCCAAAATAGGCTGTAGCATATGAAAGCTCTTGCTTATCTGAATAAGGTAGTCTACAGCATATTTCAGTTTGAGTACCTGCCTAGTTTCCAACAAAATTCAGACAGTTTTGAAGGACTTTCTGATGCAAGATGTCCATTACCAAGATGATGATAAAAGTTGACTCTTGGAAAGTTTATGCTGTGCCCCATGCCCTTAAACAATGTTATATAGCTGGTGGTAAAAATAATCTGAAAAGTTGGAATTTAGAATGCTGTTGAATTAACAAGGTAAAGAATCCTTAGATACGTTCTTCAGCTTCTTGCTTGCCTCTGCCCCATTGTAGATTTTTGCCATAGATGTTACTAAGTGTCATCAACACATGCATTAAATGGCTGTCCCCCATTTCAGCTGGAATTTATTGGAGAAAAAAAGACTTCAGCATAAGGAAAGAGAGGATGTTTTGATTCCTCTTCAGAAATAACCAAATAGTCCAATATTCCTCAATACCTTATATGTTCTTTAGTATAACACACAAATGCACATATAATTTGTATGGTCATAATTGAAAGAAAAAAGGCTGGAGAAAGAGGCTTTTGGGGGTGTTTTTTGCATAGCATTCCGCAGATAACTTTAGTTAAAGGGAGGTCTTTGCCTTTAGATATCACACTCATCTGAATGCCTGGCTACAACTTATGTTTCACATTACAATGACAGAGATGAAAAAATTATTTGTGAAGTGAAAAATCACAAAAAAGGGAAAATGACTAATCATTTTCCCCTACCTCCCTCCAAAAATGGAGTCATTTCAAATTGAGAGTGCCATTTTAGGAAAAAAATATGCAAAGTATATTGACCAAAGTGTATGAATTACTGGATATTAGTCACATTTTGTATTCTGTTTAGATGACACAGTGCTACAGGCCAGATCTGGCCTGTGGGCCAGGGGTTGAGCACCCCTGTTGTAAGGCTACTGTACCATAAAGTTACATTTGTAGATTTAACATGTGAGCATATAACTAGACTATTTTTTTTTGAACAACCGTATTTAAAATAAAGCTTACCTTAAAAGAATACTCCAGTCTTACAAGGAAAGGAAAATTTACTGCTTGTAATATTCTCTTTTCATTCAACGTGTGTTCTATTTGCTTCAGTTTGACAACCTGTAAAAACAATCATTGTATTCTTCAGTCCTTAAAACTTATATGCAACTTTACACACAGTAAGTGACAGATGTCTAGGACAACAATACCAATGCTTATTTAGAATTTTTTCTGTTAACTTTCAAAAGACTAGTACTCAAAACACATGGTTCATGGATGGCTCTTTTTTGTATGGGATGCAACAGGGAAGCAAACTTCTCTAGGTTTTCTTCATAAATTTCTTACTTTATCCAATGGAAGCCCCTTTCGACAGCGAAATGGTGGATCAAACAAATCTATTTGATCTTTAGACTGTGAGAAGAGCAAAGCATACCAAGTGCTTCTAGTTACAGGTTGTATGTGTACGTGTACTATACACCATATTTAGTTGAATCCAAAATAAGGTTTTCCTCCCCCTATTTATCATGGGTTAAACACCCCCCCCCCACCTCTAATCCAAA